CTGCACGGGATGGTACGACCTTGGTACACGGCGTACACGGCTAAGTCAATAAACTGGGTGACGCAACTCACTAGCGCGTTGGATCGACGGAGAGCACCGATACTCGGCACGCTCTACCGTACTCTCTCGCTCGCACACCTCCCTCCATAGACCACCGAAATTCTTCGGCACGCGTCAACACCGACGGAGAGTACCGATACCGTGGCTCGCTCTACCGCTCTCACTCGCACACCGTGACGTCACCCGATTCCCGGAATCCCGCGGCCACGAGATGGCTCATTACGGTAGGGCATTCCCGCAAGGGAAATTGTAAGCCCGGCCAAAAGATAGATTTGATAAACTATTTATGAAACTACATCTATTCTGAATTTATCTGTTACAAATATACCAATGGAAGGCAAGATATAAAAACGAATAAAACAAGAACATGTAAAAAGTAACATTAATAAAATGTCCATATAACGATGCATTTAGAATAAATTGTCTTGTAGTTAAGTGAAAAAATATATACTTTTCCGTTTAAAGCTTAAGGACTTACGATCGCAGTGAGCAAATTCACTCAAGATAAAATAATCGCAATCACGGTCGTAAATGAAGTTAAATCACCACCGTGATCGTTATTCGGCGATCACTGTGACAAATCACCGTTAGTGATTTTGCTAGTAATGGGCACCATCGATTAAAAACTATCGACTAAGTCAATAGTAACCAACGACTACTTTCAGTTGACTAATTTTTTCAATCGTTAACTACTTTAGTCGCTTGAAGCGACTACTTTAGTCAATTAAATTTAGTCGCTTTAAGCGACACGCTCGAACTATCGAGCTGTTGATCGCTATTGACTGGACTTTGATTATTTTCTTCGCGATGCAAACAAATTGTAATTTTTCTTTATGCACTACCAAGAACTGTGCAAATTATTGATTATAACCTAAGTGATTTTCATAAAAAATTTAGAGCAGTTAATTTTTTAAGTGCCAATATTAAATAGCTTACAAAAAATCGAATATTAGTAATTGTTTAAAAAAACTTGTTTACCACTTATATGTTTGAAATTCTATCTATGAACTAATACATTTCCAAAAGGTACTGAATTAGGTCATTCACACCAATGGTGCTGAAAAGTTGATGACATAATTTATACATAACCTTTAAAGCAAAATTTCAGTTGACTAAAAACTATCAACTAAATAGTCGATACTATGTTGCGACTAAATAATCATTAGTTGATAGTTTAATTTAGTCGATGGTGCCCATCGCTAGATTTTGCACGCCATCTCTAATAGAGACTGAGCCACGTACGTGTTGCTATGTGTGCGAGCAGGAGAGCTTGCTACGAAAGCGAGAGCAAAAGAGAAAGAATCTCAGTACACCGCACCGGTCGGTTTTGAAAACTTAGTTATAGTTGAAAACATAGGTTCAATTAGAATAGTTCGTTGTAATCGTTCAATTAGAACAGTTCGTCAAGAGAGATCGTCCTCATTTTTGTACTTTTCGTTATTAATAAACTCACGAAGAAGTAACTTCGCCGGTTTATAAACTAATCTGCTCAATCGAACGAGCTTTGTAGTTTTTCAAGTATTAAAATCTGACTGAGCGAAATAATCACGTGTCACTACCTCGTACCTATCCTAAATTTGCCTGAGTCCGGGAAAACGTTAGATCCGGGAATTTACTAAAAGCACAGCGACAATGAAGTTGAACTTTCGGTCTTTTTAAAAAAAGTCGCTGGCGCTCTAACTCGGTTTAATATAATTTTGGTCCTTCGAGCCGTATTATCTCGGGTTTCTACGCAGAAGAATGTGGAACCGGAAAGTGTCGAGCTATTGTAACAGCAGCTCTTCGACCTCGGCCACAAGACACAATAAATAATTCATCTGGAACAATATACCTGAAGTGTTTTTAGAATGTTAATGCATCCTTAAACTTATTAGATATAAAGGAGAGCAAGCAATCAAATAGCAATAATGTGTAATAAGAAATAAATGTGTTGAAAAGTATATAATAGAAATATTTTTATTTAAATAATTACATTAATTACAATTTTGTAAAACATTTTATTAATCTTGCTTCTCTGTCAACAGAGCACTTCCTGCAGCTTTGACTACTAAAAGTAAAACATATTTGGTAAATAATTAATAGGTATTTAATTAAATGTTGTGTTACATTATTGTTAACGATAAAACATGTACCTGCATCTTGAGCATTTGAAATAAACTGGTCAACTTTGTGATGATATCGTAAAAATGATGGTTTGACAATATTGCGATACAAAATCATCGAGCCATTATTTTCCATAGGTGCCATCAGCCACATATAAAAGAGACACTGTAACAAGTGATAAAGAATATGTAAAACAATGTGTAAAAATGTTTACTTGTTTTATTATGTATTAAATATAGTAGCTAAACCTTAAAAACCCAATAAACTGGAAACCAGCACAGAATATAATCTGAGAAAAATTCAACAATTGTGAATAATGCAAACACGACCCAATATGTTAACCATTTTGTGTCATCATCCTTCTTTGAACTCTCTAAAGCTTTCATAGAACAATAAGCAGGATAGAGAAATCCAAAGATGTTGCAGACTAGTTGTTGGCCAATACCAAAAACTAAATAAATTCCTAACACCACGACAGAGCCTAAAAGAAACAAAATATTTTTATTGCATGGACAATGTTATAATATAATAAGAAAATACTTAGAGTAGTTAATTATAAAACATTATAAATAAATAATAATTCAAACCATGAGTAATGTGCTAAATTGTTTGTTCTATATAATTATCATTATAAATATTAAATTATTATTAGTTCATTACAGCAATTTGTATTGAAGAAAATAAAAGTGTTTAGATACTCTTTTATAATACTTTAATGTAAGAATAAAAAAAATAAAAATTTTGCATAATTTGGAGTATAGGTATATTATCTGTATATAAAATGGCACACCTTAACATTACAGCTTGTGAATAAAGAAAAGGTACACAAATTCGAATTGCTATTACTAATATTTCTTTTAATTGTTGTGTGCAAAGGTTAGTTGTACGTAATTTATATAGTATCAGAAAACTGACTTGTCATGCTCGCAAAGGAAATTTCCTTTAAGTTCTTATTACGTAAAGCAAGAACGAATGAATTTGTATATTCAGTTACCACATATGAAATGACAAAAACTAACACGATCATTTACGAATAACCTAACCAGCATACCTAAAAACACGTAAGTCCGGTTGACCCCTGTCTGTTTTTCCACTTTTACAAAATACTTTACCCAGAATTTACTTTCGTCATGTAAGGCTTTGTCCAAAGACTCTTTCACTGCTGTTATTCTTGCCATTATATTAAATTAAAACCTGACCACAGCAAATACGTCCTAAAATCCACTCAGGGGTGTTCCACTCTTCCACTTTCCACTCAATACATTATTTTGTTAATACGACATTAGCATCCTCTACCGAGATGTAGGCTTACTATATGACCAATGGCGGTCGTTTCAAAATGCGTATTAAATGCACCTCTTATTTACTAGTATAGTATTGTATATTTGAGCAATAAAAATATACAGTTGAATATTTATACGTATAAAATACAATTTATTCACAATATTATGAACTATTTAACCGATTACTAATTCTTTAAGTAGTTATAGAATCTTTCCAAAAGGAGAGATGGGGAGAATTTCTAGTAACTGCTCCCCATAAAACCTTTCCAATTTGAGCTTTTAATACATTACCATTTAATGAGTTGAAGACGTTAAAAAATGACAAAATTTTCACTCTTCCAGTAGCCCTCCTTTCTCTCCATTTTGTGTCTTCCCGATACATCACTTTCATCTGAAAAAAAATAATTTGTTTAGTTCAAGTATCAATTTAAATTATATTAAATACTATATTGTAGTTCTAATATTGATACACTTATCACTAGACTGCAAATATTTATGTAATTATAGGAATTTTAAGTACAAAATATACATACATAATGTATAAAAATATACAAAATATCCAAAGTAAACTGCACATAATAATATTTGGAGAATTAAATGAATTCTTATTTAGGTTCCTTTTGTTTTCACTATGTGTATGAAAATATGAATTTGCATAAACATTCGCAGTCTATTTATCATAAAATACAAGAATTGAAAATATTAACGTTGCTTACAGTGATTAAGTAATTCATTTATCTCGTGTCTTACATTCATTAATTCTTCCATTATAGAATCATATTAACCCTCTCTACTCGATAATATTCGTAAGAAAAAATTTACATTTCTTGCGAATTTTATCGAGTAATCAGAGTTAATGCGATACAAGTGTATTCGACTCAAATACCGCGGGCACAAGTTATCGATATCTTCTACGGGGTAACTAGACAGTTGTTCTACCGACTTTCCTGCACGTCGTTGAGTCTTTAAAGTGACTGTACGCCCCTTACGAGCCGCAATCCGCTGACACTCTGTACGCGCGGATTGCCATCATTTGGGTCAATTTTTAAGCGCTTATAACTAATTTCGTTAGTCTTGATTTTCGTATTATTTTGCCTCAAAGAATCACCCCTTAAATTTTTCCCACTAGTAGTCGAACACCCTGTATATATGCCCTTTAAATTTTTCTTACTATAAGACATTTACTATTTTATTAAACAGATCTAACATAGAATTTAGATTTTTTATTCATATATTTTTTGTCAGCGACTGACATGCGCATATCGCGCCGCAGTCAAAGAGTTAAATACTACTTACACATAATACTACTTAGTATAAAGGCACCGTTTTTGCGTGGCTGACCACGATCAGGTTGCTTTTATCTTCTTTGAATAAAAAGAAATGAATGATAATTAATCTATACGAGCGATACTCTAGTTTAGATTAAAATGTACGGGACGTGTCAAGAAATCCCAATACACAGATATGTCGTGACATTTCCTACCTCGCATCGCCTCCACAGGAGCCCGCGGCTGCCCGCCATTTGCCCGTACGGGCAGCATGCCCCGGTTGCCCATCACTGCTATAGGGGAACAATAAATGAATACTACTAGTAAACGTATGTACCGTAGGGGACATCGAAACCGAGTGGGATAGTTTACAATGTAACTATTGGCTGATAAGAGCATCGCAGGCGGACTTACACAGTCGAACAAAGTAAACAGAGGAAGAATCGAAAGAGAAAGAGAAGCCAAGTATCAGGCGTCTCTTTGCTTTTTACTCGCTGTCCTCTTCTATGTGCCGAAAGATACAAAAGCGTCTTGCCGATGCTTGGTTTCGGGCAAAAAACAAAATGAGGTGCTAAAATGGTAACAGGGTGCGATGTATGTTGTAAAGAGACCCCGAGTTCTGAACTTTCATCGACACTTTACTGTAGTTTACAATATGTTTATCTATCTTTCTGGTTCTTTCATTGAAGCTCCAAAAAAAATCTCTAAAGAAAAACGACGATTTGAAGTGAATAACATATCAACTTGTTTTCAGTATACACAGTCATTCAATTTGTGTCGGTTTTGAGCACATTTTAAAGGCTCCTGTATTATAGATGGAAATCCGTTTCTTGCAACGTGTTTCTGAAAATTATAAAACGACAAATTTAATTATTGCAGAATGGAAGGAAATCGGCTTATTAAATATAATGCATATAATTATTATATAAAAATATTGAAACGTATGTCTGGGATACCCTCTGTATACACCAAGCAAATAAGCAATGAGCGTGTCAGACGAAGTATGTAATTCAAATTCAGTTCTCGGAAAAGTCATATACCTAACTTAAGAGATAACCTAATCAATTTTTGAATTTAATTTTCATGTAGAATCATCTTCTTGGTTGTATCATTTACTGTATACAGTAATGAACATAAATATATGCAACATACGATTTATACAATAACAACATTACATACATTTCTTTAAAGTGTAACTTTTCCGCTGTCAGGGCAAGTTTTCGGATATTTCGAATTGTGGATGCAGCAGCGATTTGCACTTCCGGATCGTCTGACCCAACTAGACGCAGTATATGCTGTAAATAATACATTTTTGTATAACTTTCAGTTAGTTCAATCTTGAAACAGTTTTTTCATAAATAAAAAGGACACATAATGTTAGTGTTATAAATTTATTCGCGTTTGTATCATTATACGGAATCGTTAATTTTCAATTTTTCCAACGTGACATTTAAAATTTGTTTGTAACCAGACATTGTATCATTTCTACGTGGATCTGTACAATTTTCTATAGTGACGATTTTTTTAAACAAAAATTTTTAATGAATAATTAGTACTAATTTTATAATAAAAGAAGAAAATGCTTTCATTAAATAGATAAAAAAGGAGATAATTATCGGTACCTTTATTACACCGGAAGTGTGCATTGTGATACAGTTTGAGGGATCTTTACTTAAATGATATGCTGCTATACAAACACCTCTAAGAACATCTGTATTTTTACTAGTCATATATTTGACAAGTGGTGCCACAGCGTTTAATTGGCCAAATTTATAACTATTTTCTTCCCATTCGCTGCAGTATGCTATGGCCAAGGTCAAATTTGCACGCAAACTCTCGTCTTCCTGAAATAACAAAATGTTGAACGATCAATACTATTAATTATATAAACTATAACGTTCGTATTGACAATAATTAAATAAATAATAGACTTTTATATACAGGGTACGTTAAGCAATTGGAATGGGTTATACATAACAATTTCCAGTGCCACAAGCTCATAGGAGAAAGATCGCAAAAGTGTTTACGTTAAGCAATTATGATTTATTGCTGTATTTTTTTGTACGTATAATATACATATACGTAGTATCTAAACGTGCGAGACACTGATTGTGAGTGTATTTTGCGACGAGGGCGATTTTGTTCGCGATTTATAGAGATTCTAATAACAATACGTATAGTAACTCTTTGAAATTCTTTAAACAGACTTTTACTTCATCCGAGAAATTATTGTTCTTGAGAAATATAGCAATTCCTTTTGAAATGCTTAATAACATGGCAATAATGAAAATAAGTCATTCCGTTAAAAAAAATGACATTTTTTTAAATGGGTTGGTACGTTTTTGTTTCCGTAAAATGATAGAGGAGCTTAAAACGAATTCAACGACCTATTACATAAAATCATAGTAGGTGTTCGAAATGATGACGATAACTATCAATATAACACTGGATTCTTTTTATGTTACAGTTTCGAAGGTATCTGAGGTGGTTACAGTTATTACCCCACCCTGTGTACAAAAGTGGAAAATTGTTTTTGCAAATAAAAAAATTTATGATAATTATATGCTTTCGTAATTCAATAAACCATGGATAAATGCACATTTTTTGCATCCAAGGACTATCTCTGTCTCTTACGGTTAGTAACTTATATGTAAAATAACAAAAAAATCATTTTGTTTATAAATGGCACATTGTAGACAATTTGTGTAGAGATTAATTTTTAAAAAATGCTTCAAAAGATCAGTCAGTATATTTGAGAAAATCACGTAAACATTGTTCTACTTTGAAACCAGGCAGTGGTATCCGAAATCTAGAAAGATGTCTTGAATGAAAAGTACAAGAATTACCGTTGTTACGAGCTTCGCCAATTTGTCCACTACGCCATGATCGCTCAGAATACCGAGGTTCTCTGGATCGGTAGCGATTTCGGCAATAGTCGCGCAGACTGCGCTCAACACCTCTGTATCCTTGCTCTGAAGCAGGCTGACCGTAAGTTCCAGTCCACCCACGAATGCCCGTACCATTTCCGGAGAATCTTTGGCATACTTTATACAAGGGACCAACGCAAGGCAAGCGTTTCTTTTGATTTTGTCGCTGGGGTGTTTCAACAACGACCAGACCAATCGTACACCGTCCAGAATGTGCTCAGGATCGTTAATGATATCCATGCATGCTTCATTTTGCGCGCATTCCCTTATTACCATTGGTACATTTTCCAATAAGGCTTCATACGTAGAAGTTAACAGTCGGATCTGCGTGTTATTAGTATATTATATTAGGGATTATTGAAAGTACTGAAATACATTTGTATATGTAATACAATTATTGTACTACAACTTAAAAATTAATCTAAATATTAATGTAATACAATATATTTGTAATACAATTTTCGCGTTTTTTATTTCTCACGGTTTGAATTTTTAATTTAAAACTCTGAAAAAATACCATAATATGTGGCCCGATAACTAAAATGTATTTCATATTTTTCGAAATTTTCACATTTGAAATATTCGTGATTTTATATTTTTCCCCAGTACTACTTCAGTTGAGATACAAAACTGAAACTTTGTACATATGGGGCTTTTCGATAAACGAATGATGCATCGCAAGTTGAATTTAGTTTAGGGGCACATCTGATCCCCTTATTCGGCTATACTCTTTATAAATTTTATTTTCTGGAAGTTGAAACTGTACGTGTCAAAATTTTATTCTACATTTTCGATCTGTTTTAGTGTTTAGAATTGTAAATTCTTGAACTTCTGTAAACCCTCTATAAACCCCTAATAAATGATTTTGATGAAACAAATGATGAAACAATTTACTTACTATATGTTTATATGTAGTGGTTAAATTATGTGTGATAATCTAATGGTTAACGTTTTCAGTAATGTGTTTACTTACCAATTTTGGCAGGCCATCATTCACTCTAAGAACGTCTCTGTTAACAGGATCCTTGCAACATTCTGCCAGTGCTCCTACAACATTTACTTGCACATCTTCATCCTCGTATTCCTCTAAAAACTGTACTAATGAAGCTACTACATTGTTCCGATTGAACCTCGCAACATTTTCTGGACTTGTAGCACATTTCCAAATTCCACCAGTGACCGCAGCTAGAAGACTTTTATTTTCATGAACTTCTTTGTCTTGTACCAATTTGCATAACATATCTAAACCACTGGTCGTTCGAACTACATCTCTTGCCACCTTGTTCGGGCCACAATTAAATATCGCCAGGGCACAGTTTTCTTTCAATTTAATGTCGTCATTTTTCAGGTGACGCACCACGGCGTATATAATACTAGTATTCTCGAACGCTTTACGATAAACTGCCTGTAAAAAGCGAAATAAAGTGTAAAGTAGTGTTCCTGTAACAATGTTGGAAGAACATTTTTAACACAAATTCAGGGAGAATTCGGATTCCCGGGTTTTCCTCTATTTTTTCTGTTTAACGATGTACAAAAATTCTTTAAAAAATCTGATAGATAGTATCTACCGGAGTATATGTTAGAGAACTTTTTGCGAATTTTTAGATGAATATCCTAGTTGTGAAAAATCAAAAACGCTAAAAGAAATTGAAAAAAGTTTTTTTCTTATTAAAGTTTCAAAGGCACCACATTCACCTTTTCAGAGTAGCGATATATTATCATAAGTAGTGTCCACGATTGTTTGGAGATTTTCTGGCAGGGTGCGTCCTAGTTTTAAAAATCAAAAACCGATTTTTTTCGACACTTTTTCCGTGAAAAAATAACGTAAAAATTCGAGTCATTGATTTCTGTTGATACCTTTCTTCGAAAGTTATTACAGGCGAGAATAGAGACCGTCAAACTTATCGCTAGACGAAATATTCATTCCGTCATAACTTTTGATTCTAATATGTTTCTTGAATATTTCTTTTAAACGCGCTGAGATATGTTGTCTACGTGAACATGTATTATTTTTTGTATTTAAAAGATTTAAAAACAAATTGATTTATAAGGAATGGAATGTATGATTTTAACAAAAAATACTTATTTTGTACTACTTGAGTTACTCTTTATAATGTAATACGCCACATGTTGCATTAGGATACAACAAATGTATTTGTCACTGTTCTTTTAATTATTTTTGTTTCTACTAACGTAGGTATCTACTATTACATGTTTTACAATCTACCAAGCATATACATCGAACTTCGTACATATCCTTACCAAACTTGCACATTGTTGAACAGTACCCATCATAGGTATCACTAATGAAGTGTGTTTCGATTTTAGAAAGCGTTCCATAATGTTAACCACACCGTGTTTACGAAGTTCTTCTTTTACTTTCGGACTACTGCTTAAAGAATCCAACACCTTTGCACAAGCTATCGCAACTATTACCAGGTCCTTATTGGTTTCGTTCAAACTATCGTAAGGTTGTCGAAGAATAGAGTCTGGTACGTCCATTACATCTAACTATAAAAAATCAAAAATTCATCTGCATATTAGATATGTTAAAATTTGTATTCTTTAATTGAACTAATTACATAAAATTTTACTAAAATGATTAGGATATCTGCAGAATAAAAATTATAAATCTTTCAGTTTTTGTGAATGTAGAATGCAGCTAAAATAATTACAGAAAAGTTTAAATGTAATAATTGTAGAACATTTATTGTAGATCAGTAAATAAATACAAGTCATTGTAGGCAGGCAATGTCGAAAGATACGACATACACAGTGTTAAGAAAAATATGGAACATTTTCGCATGGTGGAATCTAGATGCCAAACTAAGACGAGAAATAGAATTAACAAAATTGCTTTCGAGGCTTTGTTTCCGAGTTATTAAATGTGAAAATAAGGTTGAAATACGTTTTCCACGACGGGTTATTCTATTGTACTTGAGAGGCGCGCTCCACAACTATTTCACGAGCTCGTATTATAGTCTTTATGGGTGGCTAGGCACTGACAATTACCTTCCAAGCTAATGAAACAGCTGAAAAATGCACCCCGCAAGCAGAATAACCGAGTCATACCAAACGTATTTCCCTCTTGTTTTACACATATTTGCAGCAATTAATAGCTTGGAAATGAAGCCCCCGAAAACGCCATTTTATCATCCTTTTAAAATCCCAAAATATTGTTTAAACTAATGCATATATTTTTGTGCATTTTAAGAATCTATGATTAATGCCAATCCATTCAAAGTGCATATAAATTCATTTTTGTTTCATTAACGTATCACTAAAATTAAATATTTTACTTTCCGTATTTAATTACGTATGCATATATCCTTCTCGTAAACTAACTTAATAGTTTTCATAAACGAAGTCTTCAATGAGTGGCGCGTATATCACTAACTACTGAGAACACTTACAATCAGAGGTATACCACCCCGAATACGTATTTGCTTACGCGCTTTCCTTATTTGCGCGATAATTGCCATAGTCTCTGCAGCCAAAACCTTTGTAGTAATATTAACGATATTAAATTATAGTTCAAATGAAAAGCAATATAAATTAATAAGAGTAAAGAGAAGGTTTTTGTGGGAGTACACATAAGGACTAACTTGAATATCTCTAGCTGGGTGCTTTAACATTTGAATCAAGGGTGTTACAATACCAAGATCAATTAGATATCGTCGCATCTGCGAGGATTTTGCAACTTGAAGTAAAACTGACAACGATCCACTCTGGCATTTTAAATCTTTCGTCTCTAGAAGATTCACTAAAATTTCCAAGCCTCCCATTTCCTGAACGGCTTTTTGAATTATCTATTTTGAGAGAAGATCAATATGAAACTGTAATCTTTCATTATAGATACAAAAGAGTCGTTTTTGTGAAATACGAACTGATACATTGTCAATGGATTCCTTTCTTTGCGATATCGTAAAATTAAATATCTATAATAAGCTGGAATTAATTCTTTAAATTTCTAATCTTTTTATACTTCTCCACGTTATTTCACATTTTTACCAATAAATCTTAACGTTCAATAGTTATTAACATATTGTATATTTTTTTGTACCATAATATTAAGTTATTATCACGGTAAAGCATGTAATGTTAATACACCTTTAAAGGGTAATTAAATTTTAAATTCGAACTTTTTTTATGAAAGTAAATGTATCATTTAACTAAGAGTGATAATATTCAAGGGAGCAGTAAGATACCCTACTGCTGAGGTCGTAATCCTTCAGAAGACAAAGAGCCACCAAGGTGGCGGTTTGATTGCCCGCTTTCATATATCTGATAAGCTTTTGTATATGCCAAAATTCTGAAGGCACTTCCGATACATCTTCTCTCAATCGTTTAAGTTCTTCATCGCTTTCAGACTCGGGCTCGTCATCTGAGCTTTCGTCTTCTTTCTTCTCGATAATCTGTTGGATTCGAGGACCAAATGGCTTCCCGGTGACCATGGATATCAAAGGTTTTACCGGCTCATCCGATTCTATTACTTCTGGAATGTCCGGTTCGATTCTTTTGCCATAGAAAATGAGAAAAACATTAATCATCAGTGAAAAACCTAACTAAATTGTGACAATTAATATGTACATATATGTATACAAATAGATGTTCTGATCCAGATTAGGTACATTTAAATATACATTTTTCAATTTTCCTTAAATATAAATTATATTCTAAGTTCAAATTTCATTTTTGAATTCGTAATTGATATTTTTTTACGCATAAAATTATAAGAAACAGACTTGCAACTCTCTCGAGAATAATAATTTTCACTTTGATCTGTGTATTTGGATTTAATTTGGTAAACTCTACAGATTCAATAAAACTGAATACATACATATATGTATATATGTATGCAAGCATTTCATATTTACGTACTAAATATGAAACATGTAGCTGTTTATAAAGACACGTATGTCGGTATACCATAAACATAAAGTCGTTAGCATTTTTAGTGATAAATATATTTTTAATTATGAATATACGAGGGTGAGTCAATCAATAAGTTACAGACCCTTTTAAAAAAAATACGAATAAATGTAAAAAATCTTTTTTATTACCAACGTAAACTGATAACCCGCTACTACTTCTCAATATAGTCACCAGGTCTCGGTAAACACTTGTCGTAACGAGAAACTAATTTACGAATTGAAATAAGAATCGGATAACAACAACCATCTCAAACTTGGACGCATTTTTTACATGACGCTTCATGTTTAACATACAATAATATGCGTCGTACTGACGCAATTTAGTTCAAACTTAGTCCACGTCAACAACAATGTTTTATCCGTGTAATCACTGCACATCAACTACGTATTTCATTCAGAACGGAAGTTAGCAGGGAGGTGTAACTTATTTATTGATACACCCTCGTTTATGTAAAAACTTTTAGGAAAAATAGTACGCGAAACTGGCAAAAATTTACATTATTGGATATAAATTAAGAAATAAGAAATAAAATTAAAAATATTAAAAGTTAATTTATGATCTTATGATTACGAACTTACGTTGGCAGTGGTTCGATGGACATCTTTTTAACATCTTTTTTCCGTTTTGGTGGCATGATTTCTTAGTTATTACTATCTATCTTTTAACTCTAAAAAGTCTATATATATATATATGTCTATTAATTTTGTCAATGTGAAACACGTAGCTTGATATCTATGCAATTTTCTTTTGCACTCAACGAACACACTTCCCCTCCATTAAACACAATATCGACCAAACAGTACGTTGAGATTATCTTGTACAAGTTAGAGACTTCTCCTGTAGTAAACATAAACCTGGAATCATTCGTGTATTAATCTTAAAATGCCAGTTCCATTTTATTAAGCTATAAATACGTCCTTTTATCTCAATTAAGTGAATTTCTGCTACCTGAGATTGTCTGTATTTTATAGAATATCGATTGTGATTATTCATATTTTAGAGAGATAAAAAATATTAATAGTTCTTTTTTACTTCTCGAATGCAATTTGAATCATTTGAATCGAAGAGTTTTACTTTCTAATGTTAAAAATCAGGTTCATTTTCAGGGACATTAAACCTCTAAAGAAAGTTAAACTTTAAGGAATTTTCTGTCTCTGTCGGAAATTTTGTCCAGTTTTAAAATGTCCAAACATTTTCGTTAAATTCATTCTTATTCTTTCAGCATTCACCTTATGTTTTGTTTGAAAATAAATTTAGTACTTTTGAAACACGAGATGACGGAAATAAAATTAAAAATCTACGATAAAAAGGTATTTCAATAATAAAAGGTAACGAAAATTAACGGCACTAAAAGTAGTAAACCTTAATTAAAACTATAAACATTTAAATAACGATATTTCAAGAATAGATATTACACATTTTAATACATATAATCTA